ATTGGCACAAAAATAGACAGGTAAACCAATGGAATTAAATTGAAAGCCCTGATATCAACCCACAAACTTACGAACACTTGAATTTTGACAAAGAAGCTAAAATTATACAATGAAAAAAAAGTAACAAATGGTGCTGGCATAACTGGATATTGGCATGTGGAAGACTAGATCCATGTCTATCGCCATGTATAAAACTTAAGTTCAAATGGATCAAAGACCTTAACATAAATCCAGCCACACTGAACCTCTTAGAAGAGAAAGTGAGAAGTACCCTTGAACGAATTGGTACAGGAGACCTCTTCCTGGACATAACACCAGTAGCACAGACATGGAGATCGATAATGGGACCTCCTGAAACTGAGAAGTTTCTGTAAGGCAAAGGACACAGTCAAGAAGACAAAATGGCAGCCCACAGAATGGGAAGAGATATTCACCAACCCCACATCTGATAGAGGGCTGATCTCCAAAATTTACAAAGAACTCAAGAAGCAAGTCTCCAGAACATCAAAGGATTCGATTAAAAAGTGGGCTGCAGAACTAAATAGAGAATTTTCAATAGAGGAGTCTAAAATGGCTGAGAGGCACTTGAGAACATGCTCAACATCCCTAGCCATCAGGGAAATGCAAATCAAAACAACTCTGAGATACCATATTACTCCTGTCAGAATGGCTAAAATCAAAAACACCAAAGACAGTTTGTGCTGGAGAGGATGTGGAGAAAGAGGAACACTCCTCCACTGCTGGTGGGAGTGGCAACTCCTACAGTCACTTTGGAAATCAGTATGGAGATTCCTCAGGAAAGTGGGAATCAGTTTACCAGAAGACCCAACAATTCCACTGTAAGGCATTTACCCAAAAGATGCACATTCATACAACAAGGACATCTGTTCAACTATGTTCATAGCAGCATTATGTGTAATAGCCAGAACCTGAAAACAACCCAGATGCCCCTCAACTGAAGAGTGGATAGAGAAAATGTGGTACATTTACACAATGGAGTACTACTCATCAGAAAAAAACAATGGAATCTTGAAATTCGCAGGCAAATGGATGGAACTAGAAGAAACCATGCTGAGTGAATTAACCCTGTAGGAGGAAGCCTGTATGTTGCCATTAACCATGTGACTTACTAGAGGCGCATACAGATGAGGTAATAAAAGAGCGGTTTACCATACCGCTAACCACACCCACTTTAGGCATGACTAAAGACGTATACGGACAGACGTAAAGACGTATACATACGTAGGTGGTGAACTACATCCCTAACCAGGCCCACTTTTGGGCATGGCTAGGGGGCGTTACGGGGGAAGGCATAAAAGACTGCACAAAGGAAGTCTTGGTCTCTTTTCCCGGATTTCGGCTTCTGGTTCGGCAGAGGAAAACTCCTGGGCTCATCTGGGTTACGTCGTTTATTGTTACAGCATCATAACCCAGTCACAAAAAATACAAACATGGTATGTACTCACTTATGTATGGATTTTAGACATAGAACAAAGGATTACCAGGCTACAATCCACACTGCCAGAGAAGCTAGGAAACAAGGAGGACCCTAAGAGAGACATACATGGTCCCTGGAGAAGGGCAAAGGGACAGGATCTCCTAAGCAAATTGGGAGCATGGGTGGAGGGGAGAGGAAGCTAGGAGAAACAGAAGGGGAGAAGAAGAGGGGAGAGGAGGACATGGAGGAGCAGGAAGGTTGAGTAGGGGAAGAATAGAGGAGAGCAGGATGAGAGATACCATAATAGAGGGAGCCATTATAGGTTTAAAGAGAAATCTGGCACTAGGGAAATGTCCAGAGATCTACAAGGATGACACCAACTAAAAATCTAAGCAATAGTGGAGAGGCCACCTTAAATGTCCTTCCCTGATAATGGGATTGATGATTACCTTATATGCTACCCTAGAGCCTTCCTCCAGCAGCTGATGGAAGCAGAAGCAGACACCACAGCTAAACACTGAGCTTAACTCCTGGAATCCAGTCGTAGAGAGGGAGGAGTAATGAGCAAAGGGGTCAAGACCAATATGGTTTAACCCACAGAAACAGCTGACCTGAACAACAGGGAGCTCAAGGACCCCAAACTGATAGCCGTGAAACCAGCATAGGACTGATCTAGACCCCCTAAACGTGGGTGTCAGTGAGGAGGCCTCAGTAATCTATGGGGCCTGTGGTAATGGATCAGTATTTATCCCTAGTACACGAATGAACTTTGAGAGCCCATTCCACATAGAGGAATATTCTCTCAGTCTAGACACATGGGGCTGGGGGTGGGGGTGGGGGCTAGGCCCCGTTCCAAATGATATGACAGACTTTGAAGGGGGTTAGTGTGGGGCAGGAGAGGAGAGGAGGGAGAGGGAACTGGGATTGACATGTAAAACAAGCTTATTTCTAATTTAAATAAAAAATAGAGGGGAAAAAAGAACAGGAAGTATCTCAAAATGGAGCGATACTGCAATGAGATCAGATCTCCATGTAACACTGGAGTTAATTCCTTTGTGTGGTATGATCATGTCACAGAGAGCGGACACACTTAGTGCAGTGTCCCCTCTGGAAGGTAAAAGCAGAGTGGCCATCATGTACTGGCCTACAAATCCTTTTATGTAGTTAATGTTCGAAAAGTAAGGAGCAGAGTGTGTGGCCCAATATCAGCTCAAGCCCAGAACCATGGATATAGACTTTCAGGCTGTGGGTGTGGCAAAGTTGTCATGATAGATTTTTACACCCTACCACATATTTTCACATCTTTAACAGCTGTGGGTGGTATCATTAGGCATGGGGCCTGCCGGTGTCTCTTTAAAATTATCTTATTCTTTAGTCTCTAAGCTCCTGTACTGTATTTAAGAAACAGCTAAAGGGAAAACCACCACCATTCTCTCTGCTGAGGTGTCTTTCTTCTGCAACCCAGCCACTGCCTATTTGCTACAGCAGGACGAAGGGCAGGGCTGGGGAACCTGCGAATGTAGCTCGTCAGGCTGTTTGCCTTTCTCTTTGCTGGTAATTGTGTGCTCATGGCAGCAAACTGCCCCACAGTACAAAAGACCCCCCCACTAAAGAACTCCCCGAAGATGAACGCACGAGGTCACTTCCCCTTGAAGAATTGGTCATACATTTTTTTCAAGGACATGAGCCTGTGGCTCAGGCATTCCCCTTCCCAGTTATTCGTCAGTCATTTAGAACATGTCTGTTGGTGATTGTCTTTTGCAGTAGAAACCAAAGGAGATTCTGATGATTCTTTAGCTGTGCATATTCATAGTTTCGTGTACAGCGGTATAATGATGAGCAGGAGCGCTGAGGTGCATGGTCTCTTCCAGAATTGTTGTTGGTGCAGAGTGAGCACACACAGGGAAATATTTTCTGAATCGTAACAGAAATATTCTCCAGGAAAAGATGAAACTAAAGTTATTTGGCAAGTTGAGTGACCGAAACCATAGCAGATGTATTTCTTGAGACTCTCAGGGAGAAGCCATGGAGTCCCAAGCACCACACCTGTTCCCCTGACTGGGGATCTGTCGCTTTAAGAAAACATTGACAATTCAGATTCAAATCTTACTTCAGGGTTGAGGAGACACAGGCAGTTAATTATTAGCAATTGTTAGAACCCATTATTCCATTTCTGAAAGGTGCTAGTATGGTGGGTATTATTTCCCAAGAGGTGCCGGCAACTCTCCTTACACTGTGGCTTTTCAGTGTTTTGACGGGGAATTCTGAGGTTTGTGGAGTGGTCTGAAGGGTCACAGACAAGAGGGTTGACTCTCGAGGTTGTGGGCAGTGAGTATCCCCCCTCGTCGTGGACAGAGATGCCTGTGTTCTGTACACTGGGATTCTGCTAAGACCCGTGTTTAAATGCAACACTCAGCAAAACAAGGCTGTAAGATAACAGCTACTGTGTGAAACTGTGTCTCAGCGCTGGGATCTGGTTCCTTCTGGGTATAGTGTTCTTCAAATTCAGTTTTTCTCAAGAATCTGAGGGCATCGGATAAGAATAAAGTACTATCCCCCAGAAGAAACGACACAAACACAGCTTTGCAGCAGATCCAGAAGGCTCGTGGACTTATGAAAATCTAATCAGAGACTGGGTTTAGGATGACAACTCGGCCAGGCACAGCAGGGTATGCCTGTGCTCCTGACACTCAGGACGCCAAGGCAGGAGGCTTAAGAGTTCAAGATCGTTCTGGGACATCCTATCTCAAAATCCAAAATAAAATCAAACAGCAGCAACGATGACGAACACAACCGTCCCCTCTAAGATCCTGTCAGTACCGGACCCCGGTTGAATGAGAATAATAAACCTGGGCTCTGATGTTCGGCTGTGTTTGGAAGTGGTGGTTATCTCTTGTCACATCATAACACATGCATTGTTCACACCTTCAAGAATTATGGCAGGAGGCTGAGGCGGGAACACTGTCCCGCTGGCCACGTGGTTCCTATGGCCGATCAGTTAACTAGCTGGTATTTATGCAGAACCTTCGAAGTCAGTTACTGGGCTGCCGTGTTATGGCTTTGATGAAGGGTCCCCAAAGGCTTCGTGCATTGAAGGCTCAGTCCCCCAATGCAAACAGTGCTTAGGGGTGAGGATTCCAGGGAGTGGATTGGGAGGGAGCCGAAATCTGCATAGACTCGGCAGTTGGAACTGTGGAAGGTGCGGGCTGAGGGGAGGACGGAGCTCCTCTGTGGGTGTGTCTTACACTGGCCATTTGCAGATACTGCTCCTTTTTGTTTCACGGTTGCCACGAGGCGAACAGTGTCCCCCCCCGCCATCTCTTGTATCATGGTGAAAAGCAGGTAAGCCACACAGGCCTACCTAGCTCTCCAAGAACCAAAATAAGTATTTTCTTTGAACCATTTCTCTCAGGTATTACCACAGAGACAAAGAGCGAATGCAGCCTGGCACCCAGGCCTCACTATGTTTAGTGTTTCATGCATCCGCTCTGCCTCCCCTGTGTTTCCTCTCCCCGGCCCCTCATCTCTTCCTCTCTCCTGCAATCTCTGCGCTTTTGCTTACCTGGGGCTGACTTGGGCTTGGCTGGCTGAGACGTCAACTGTGTACCCAAACTGCTTTCAGGAATGTCTAAGTCACATGACTCAATGAGAGAACAGTAGGGATGTGGAGGGGTGTAAGGACTGCGGCACCAAGGACTCCGATTGGGTAAAACGGTTGGCTGGATTTCCTTTTCTCTGTAGCAAGAGAAAGACCAGCTTGAGATCTAAAGGCATTTTATGCAGTAGCATTTGTATTGAAAGTGCAAGTAGCGAGAAAGCTTATTTAATAAACCAAGGAAGGGGAGCTGGAGAGGTGGCTCACGAGTTACCAGCACTGGCCACCCTCCCAGAGGGCCTGGCTTCAGTCCCCAGCGCCCACGTGGTGGCTTTCAGCCGCCTGTAACTCCAGTTCCCAGATGCCCTCTTCTAACATCTGTGGGTACTGAATGCACATGGTACACACACATGCATGCAGGGAAAACACCCGTGCACATAAAATGAAAATAAGAGATAACAATATTAAAAAACAAACAAACAAATGGTATGTCTTTTCTGGATCTTGTAGGCAGACCATTTATTATGTCGCAAACATTTGCTTAAAGAGGAATGAGATTCTGCACCTCTGTCCTCAGCTAGCTTGAGGACACAATGCCTAGGCATGCATCTGCGTCCGCCTTCCCACCTCTCTGCAGTTGCCTTGCCCCAAACAGCAAGCAGTGCAAGGAAACGTGAGGGGGCCCCTGGGTCTCACGACTACCCGCCAACAGTACCACCCTGCGATGTAGGTATCTGCCTACCCGCCAACAGTACCACCCTGTGATACAGATATCTGCCTACCCGCCAACAGTACCGCCCTGTGATATAAGTATCTGCCTACCCGCCAACAGTACCGCCCTGCGATGTAGGTATCTGCCTACCCGCCAACAGTACCGCCCTGTGATGTAGGTATCTGCCTACCCGCCAACAGTACTGCCCTGTGAAAGCCCGTATATAGATATCTGCTCTCTACGCTGCATGCAGTTTGTACTGGAGCGGTGGCCAACTGATTGATGAACCACACTTCTGCTCCCAGTTCTCCCCACATGCTCAGTGACTGATGGGGAAGGATTCGAGAATTAGGCAAAATGAAGTATCGTTTACCTCGTAAGAGCAGGGTGGACCTGTTCTACCTGACATGGGGAGGTCTCTTCCTTGGTTGGCTCTTGGTTTTCCTTACTTAGGGTAGACGTGGATGCTGTTGTCCACCTAAACATATGGCTTTTCTGTGTTGGAATCACTACTGAACATCTCTCAAATTCAATATCGGTCTCTAACTTCTCCCATGCTTGCTTCCAGTGGATTGGAGTGTACCAGGCAATAGCCTAATAGAAATAAAGAGGGTTTTCAATTTAAAATATTATTGAAGTTGTATGTATGCCTTAGGCCTATTATTGCATTGCTATGTAGCTTTGGTTTCAAGATTTTGTCTGAGATGGGCTCTCACTCTGCAGTTTTAGGTTGGGTTGGCACTTGCTATGTTGCCCAAGGTATTCTATAAGTCATGGTAATCCTCCTGCTCCAAGCTTCAGAGTGCTGGGATTAAAGATGTGAGCCTTTAGACCTTATAATTGATTTCTAAAATAAATCTTATTGTTTTTAAGTTTCCAGTATTCACTATAGCATACGCATACACACACACACACACACACACACACACACACACACACACACACACATACAATCTGTGACAAGAGCTAGTGAAATTTATTTTAGAAAATCCCAGATACAAAGCCCCTTAAGTGCTTACAGCCCATGTGCTGGGCATTAGATCTCTAGACTTACGTATGCTATGCGTCATCTTTGGGTATATACCAACAGACACTTCTGGGTCGTGTGCAAATATGCGTCATCTTTGGGTATATACCAACAGAGACACTTCCGGGTCATGTGCAAATATGCGTCATCTTTGGGTATATACCAACAGACACACTTCCGGGTCGTGTGCAAATTCTGTTGTGGTTTCTTTCAAACAGCCCTTCCTGGAGCTCCCACTGTGAAGACAGGATCTTCTCCCTATCTGGATCTTAAATATGAAACAAGGGCCTGGGAAAGTACCAGAAAGTACTGCCCGCAGCTTTGTAGGCAGCTATCGTTCTGTTTGCCCCCTGAACAACATGAGGTCGCATACTGTCATCACTGATGGGTTATGAGTCTATGGATTTCCAAAACAGGGCAGGGTGTCCGTCTGTCATGTTGGAGTTATATAGGACTCATGGCCACTGCTTACGCTCACTCAGTGTCTGGTGGAACCTTAGGCCTGTCTGCTTCATTCAACATGTGGACAGGAATGAGATTTTCCAGGAAAACGAGATTTTCCTGAGATTGCAGAGTGAGGACTAGTTTCACTGAGGTAAGAATGGGAGTGATGTTTTTTAAGAACTGTGTGTTGTTTTAGGGCCTCATGTGGACACAGAATCTCCTTGCCTTCTTGTTAGGGGTGTATTTTTCAGCTGAAGAAGGCTACTGCTTTATCACAGCTGGGTGTTTCTAATGCGATGTAACCCAAGGTCAGGGCAGGAAGTTTGAAAAGAGCCCTAAAGAGGAGGCTATGGCAGACGGTGTGGTTTCACTCTGAAATGTCACCTAGTTTTGTGCTTTGGAATCGGTCCTCACTTGATGGCAAAGGTGAGGCTGTTGACACTTTGCCGAGAGCTACCTAGCTGAGCTCACCGAGGCCAGTTCACGGGCTTGCGCTACCTCAAGCCTCTTCTGGAAGTTCTGCAGGCTCTGTTACCATGGTTTTTGCCCAAGTGCAAGAGCATAAGCAACTTTTGGGCTTGATCCTCTGATACTGCGAGCGGAGATAGCCCTTTCTATCCCCGGGTCTCCGTCAGCTGTTTTGGTCATGGTAGTGCTGTTTTAGTCTGCTTTCTGTTGCTGTGGTAAACACCATGACCGAAAGCAACCTGGGGAGGACCTGGTTTATTTGGTTTAAATGATCTGATGGCAGTCGATCGTGAAGGAAAGTCAGGGCAGGAACCCGGAGGCAGGAACTAAAGTGGGGACCATGGAGGAGCACTCCTTCCTGGCTTGCTCCCCTTGGCTCAGCCTGCTTTCTTGTGTAACCTGAGCTTACCTGCCCAGTGTCAGCTCCCTGACAGGTACCTGGGCACTCCTGAGTCAACCATTAATCGAGGAAACACCCCCACAGACTTGCCTACAGGTCGATCTGAGAGGCTTCTCTACTGAAGATCCCCCCTTCCCCTGTCCCAGATGACTCCAGCTTGCATCAAGCTGGCAAAAACCACCCAGGACAAGTGCAAAATAATACAACTGCAATAGCTGGAGGGAGGAAGAGATTCTCTAGGGGACCAGGATTGTGTCTGAAGGCTGTGATGTGGTGAGATTATCCACCCTGCACACATCTGCTTCATTGACCACGCCAGTTTGGGCATGGTCACAGGTGCGGATGTGATGGGGGAAGGCTAGGTCTGGGGTCCTGGACCCCAGGTTGCTCTCTTGGTTCCTGTTGGGTCATGGAGTGAAGCCTAGGTCCAGATCCTTGGAGCTGGAACTTGCGGGTCATCAGGTTCTTATGTAAGTGACTTCTCCCCAAATGGAGTTAACCTATATTTAGCCAAGTCCTGTGTATCTTAATCTGTATCAATAGTATTTGGCTTGAAGGGACAGTCAAATGATGGTCATTTGTACCTGTAGGTAAACAAGCACTGATTCTGGCTGGTGCTTTCATGGGATTTTAGTTCCTTGTGGTGGACAAGCAATGATGGAGCAGCTCCACGGTGACAGAGGATTTGACAGAGCTCCTCACGCTGTGGGAGACCAAGATGTAGGAGGCACAAAAGGGAGAATCCACCTACAGTTACCCACTTCCTCCAGTGACGACCAAACTTCCTAAAGCTTAAGACCCCTCAAATAGTGCTCCCTGATGTGAGGCAGGTGTCCTGAATGTCATATTTCAAGCATCACTTTTTTTAAAAAAATAATTTTACATCCTGACCAAAGCCTCCCTCTTTCCTTTTCTCCCCTCCCCCAGCCTCCCTCTGACCCCTTCATTCTACTCCTCCTCAGTATTTGCTCAGAAAGGGGCAGGCATCCCATGGGCATGAGTAAAGCAAGGGAAATCAAGCACCTCCCCCTTCACTCAGCCTGGGCACGGCAATCCAGTGTGAGGAATAGGTTCCCTAGAGCCAGACAAAGCACCGCCCCCACTGCCAGGAGTCCCACAGATAGACCAAGCTACACAATTGTCACACAGATGCAGAGGGTGCCCCAATAACTTCGGGGTAGTAAACTCTAGGGCGTGGCCTTGTCTGCGAGGTGATACTGATAAGCTGGAGTGGAAGTGTGCTCTCAATCTGTGGCTCTAGCCTGTGCTTGGCATGTTGGGACATTAAGTGGTGGAGAGGCCATATGGGATCGGTGGCAGCTTCTGCTTTGCTCTGCATTCTTGAGTTTGCCTTTCCACCGTGCCCCTTAATAAGTTGGTTATCATACGTTTTGTAAATTCTTCTATCACCTGGCACCAACGTGGTGGGTTCAAACCCAGGACCCTGAGATTAAGGGTCTCACGCTGAGCTAGCCTTAGTCTTTAAGTTATACAGGTTATTAAGAAGTACAGGTTAATAGTCAGCCACGTTTATCATACTTATATTAGTTAGGTTCTCTATATGCATAGAGATGTACTCCACATAGATAGACAATCTTCAAATACTTCAAAGACCTACAGAACACGGCATTAAAATGTTTTAATACTGGAGAACTCTGTTAACGTGAGACATGACCACTCCTGGCAGCACTGGTCTATTCCTGAGGGGATGTTGGGCATTGAGGGCGCTCCATATAGAGCTTGTGTTCTTCTTGGCAAAACTGGCCTATTGAACAAAGTACTTTCCCTTGCCTCAACTGCTGACAGTAAGCGCGCTGTCCAATCTGGACAACCAGAACTCAAGGAAAAATGACTGCTGACCTTGCCAAGACAAGGTAGGGCAGTCTTTCAAGTTTTCCTGCTTCTGAAAATGGTTGGTCAGATACTCTAGGCCTGCAGTCACAGTTGGCTGCCCCAACATTGCAGAGAGACTCTGGGTGACTGTCCAGGTACCCAGGTACCCAGCTGTTTCTGTCATTTTTTGCATCTCTCGGAAGTTACTTGCTTGTACTTCCAGCTTACTCAGATAATATTATTTTCCTCCTCAGGTCTTTGATGGGGTTGAAGACTAGACAGTCACAGGTGTTATTCTCTCATATTTTAGCTAAAGTATATTAGGTACAAGACTTAGACTCCTAAGGATAGGACAGCTGTAGTGATAATCTCTGTTATTTGCCATTTACCTATAGCCTGGACATTTAGTATGGGTTTCTTGCTTGATGTTCTTGTCGGTTGTAGTTCTGTTTTTGTGTATGTTATTACCCTTTCTTACCCCTGGACAATACTTGATAATTGTTCCTATTGTATATAGTTTTGTATTAGACTTAGAACCTCCTTATTTAGACAAAAAAAGAAAGTGTTGTGGGAACTCATTCCACCAATAGCCTTGGGGCAGCAAGCTTTAGTGCATGGCCTTGTCTGCTACGTGGTCACTGATAAACTGGAGTGGAGACTCACTCTCGCTCTCTCGCTCTGTCGCTCTGGCGAGTGCTTGGCGTGGTGGGACACCAAGCAGTGGCTGGGTCAGCTCTGCTTTCTTGACTTTGTCTTTTCATTGCACCCCTTAATAAACTGGTTATTATACTTTTTATAAATTCTAGAATCAGCCTAGGACAGTCCCAGGTAGGCTCCCTGGTTGTTGGTTCAGACTCTGTGAGTTCCCATGAGCCAGGCTAGCCATTTCTGTGGGGTTTCCTCTGATGTCCCTCATTCCTGTTTCCTAAAATTCTTCCTTACTTTCCTCAGCAGGATTCTCCAATTTCAGTCCAATTTTTAGCCGTGGGTCTCCGAATCTGCTTCCATCAGTCACTGGATGAAGGTTCTCTGATGACAACCAGGGCAGTCACCAATCTGATCACAGGGGTGGCCAGATCAGGCTCTGCATCTACTGCTGCCAGGAGTCATAGCTGGGGCCATTATTGTAGACTCTGCAAGTTTCCCTTGCATCAGGGACTCCATAAATCCCCCCTTTCCAGTCATCTCTTTCAGCATTCTCCCCTTCCACCCACCCCAATCTGATCTCTCAAGTTCCCATGCCCACCCTCCCCCAGTCCACCCACTAGATCTCCTGTTTCCCCTTCCCTGCCCTTGGACTTTCTTTGTTACCTAGGCTCTCTGGGTCTGTGGATTGTAGCATGGTTATCCTTTACTTTATAGCTAATATCTACTTGTGAGTGAGCCTGTGCCACATCTGTCTTCTGGGCCTGAGTCACCTTA